GATTATATTTATTAATAAATATTTAAACTATTACATTACCTCTTACTTCCAACCTGATTAAGTTGCAGCAGTATTTTATTTATAGAGATATTATATCACTCTTACTTACTACTTCATCATAGAACCTAAAACTTTAAATGACACCTGCAAAAATATTATTGAAAATCACAAAAGAGAGAAGAAAAAACACATGGAACAGAGTTTTTGTTGAAATCTTTCTGTTTTGATTTATTAAGCTGCACACATATGTAGTTCCCGCATGCTTCAAATACATGTTCAAAGCGTGCCTTTGTTTTGAATCATTAATCTTTATTATTGGGCTTTGGAGAATTTTGTAAGGATTAAACTAAAGTTGTTAACAAACATTTAGAGACAAGAGTACATATATGATTAGCTAAGTATTTTGATAAAGTCTGTTCCGGTTGGGTCTCCTGGGAAAAGTCCACTAGAATTACAAAATTTGCATATTGAAATCGAGAGAGCTTTTCCAATCATGTGCGAAATTATTGTGGCCTTTAAAAGTACGTACATTGGACATGTATATATAAAAAAATATATAATATGTGTATATATATTTGTATATAGGATACTTAAAATGAAACAAGCAAGTATTTAACGTAACATCAGCTCCTAAAAAACGTCATATACCAAAGCAGTCTACGTTATTTGTCTGTTTGAGTTGGCATATTTGTAATGAATATCTTAAAGCACCGAAAGAATTGAATTCGATATTTGAATTGAATATGCCACTATATAACTATAACAATATATTTCTGTTATCGTTTACTCAACAGGAACCAAAGTATCAATATTTAATCTTTTCGCATTTGCTTTTTTAAACGCTATCATAAATTTGGCAATCTTTCCAATTGTTGTTACTGTATAAATTTTTAATTATTAATATAATTATTAATTATTTTGTGTAAAAAAGTATTCTCGTTTTCAATTTAGTTGACTAATCAGCAAAAAATTGTTATACATTTCAATTTAAATACTAAACATACAATATAAGAATTATAATTATTCAATTCGTTTTAGTCGTTATTTGTTCTCTTCATTGTTCGCGCAAAAATTATTAACAAATCACAGTAAAAAGCAACAATGCTAAAATGGTCGTAATGCATTTTGGTTTTCTTTTCGATTATGCTATAAGGATTATCTAATACATCATTATTAATATTTGCTTTATGGCTTCGGCAAAACGTACGCAACTGTACCTAAAATTACAATTTAATAATAGAAGATGAGAATAACAATAATTGAGAATATGCGCTAAGGATGATTTGTTCTTTCGCAGATGGATGACAGATCTGGAAATTCAAGAGCGTATTCAAAATTAAAATAAAACTCTAAAATTCAGCAGTAAATGTTAGTGGAATGTGATAATTCAAGATAGTTGCCAATAGTTCACATTGGATAACACTTAAAAATATTTAGAAAAGTACGGAAAATAACAAAAAATTAAATACAATTCGAAATAGATCGATTCAGAGCGCGCACAGTTGCGTCTTGCACAATTCATATTCATACAATGTTTGTATACTTTATGTATTATTAACACAATGAAATAATCGAAGGGGCACTTGGAGGAAATATTTTGGGTATGATAAGATTACAATTTCGAAACGTGCTTAGCAAGTTTACGGGGAATTTTGTTCGCTTCGCTCTCATAAATATGGCTCAACGTGGCGGTACTTATAGTGTATCCCGAGTATAAGACAGTTACGCATGACATTTATAGATGTTACATATTGTGGGTACAATTCGCTTACATAATATGTATATATATTTAGAGACTTTCAATGTTTGATCGAAACAGTTCACACGTCACAGATATTAGCAAAAATAATGTTAGATTCATTCTGAATGCTTTATTAGGGTTGTTTGTATTCAGTATTAGAAAAATTGATGCTTTGTCGCATTCTGAAATTCAATTCCAAATCAATAATCATTTACACGCGTGTAAACTCAGCTTTCGCTTCAGTTATAAATAGTTACAGTTAGACGTTATAAATATATACCTGGAGGTGAGTTATTTACACATTTAGATGATAGGCTTTAAAAGTAGCGCTCAAAAAATATACACACATATACACAGACAGACAAATAGATGTACACGGATTGCGGAAAAACATCAATGCTTGGGTATGTCGCCACTACAGTTATTCGGCTGCTGCTGCGGACGCCGATGGCGATGCAGCAATCAGCTGGCTGCGATGTAGCGCGGCTTGGCTGCGTTCGCCTCCAAGCTGCTGGCATTGCTGTCCATTTGCTGCAGCTCGATCTCGCTGAGCAGCGCCCAGTTCTCGCTGTCGCTGTGCACGTGCAGCCGCAGCTCCTTGAGGGGCCCGATTTTCGGGTCGAGCTGTCCCTCGGCCACGCCCAGCGCATCGAACGAGCCCACCACCAGATAGCCATCCGTTGTCGTATTGTAGGTACTCCAAACGGACGAGTTCTCGCTTAAGCTATCTGCGGGCAGCAGCTCCACGGTGGTATTGTAGAAGCGATCCGACGGGTGCTCCGAGTTGCCGCTGCGGAATAGATAGCGCCTCAGCTGCGTCGGCTGCTCGAAGATGAACTCCACCAGGTCGCCGGGCTGCGGCAGCAGACCCCAGAAGTACGTCTCGCCGCGATAGGCGCGCTTCAGCAAATAGTTCTTGTACGGCGCTATATTCGACTTGACCAGCGCGGGCGGATTGTGCGYGTGCGCATAGTAGGATGGAACCTTGCTGCCGAATTGCTTGTCCTTCAGCTTTTGTACTTTGCCCTTTAGCGAGGAGCTGGTCCCAATGTGCTGGAACAGCGACTTGCGGAAGTGCTGCCAATACCTTGCCTTCTCCAGATTGCAGTGCTTCTGGTCCTTGTCCGTGCGACACACCTTCGACTCTATGAAGTAGGTGAGCAGCCAGTCAACGGGCTTATCATTGTAAAACATTTGAAAGTACGTTATGAGGTATGGCAGCTCGGCGCTCTTAAACATTTTGCCAATGAAGCCGAGCTGGCAAAAGTCCAGCACGAACCAGTCCGGCTGATCCGGCTTGGTCAGAGCGCTCTTGATGAGCGCGAATTTCTTCATTGTGGTTATAAATTGCCGCTTTGTCAGTATATCATCCTCCAGCTGCACGTAGAAGGTGCCCTTCGAGTGGGCATAGGCCATGAGATAGGCGAAATCCAGGTTCTGCTTGCTGCGCCACTTCACGCGCTCCAAGGAGTCGTTCAGCGTGATGCGCAGCCGCTCAAAGTTTGGATAGTAGCTAGGCGCTGGCGCTATAATGTCTATAAGTCCGCTCTCCACATGCGCCTCGAAGCTGGTCTCAATCTGCTTGGCTATCAGCTGGACGGCATCCAGGTCTGTTTCGCCAATGTAGACAATGATCAGAGTCTCGTTCTGCTCCTCATCATTCATGTTCTCAATGAGATTGTGCAGCGTCGCCAGCAGATACGATTGCTTCTCGCGCCGCACCGTCGGCACGCCCAGCACGATGCTAACGTCGGAGCGGCCTTTGCTCTGGAAATACGCTGGGCGCAGGGAGCCAGCGTCGTCCAGCAGATGGGGCAGAAAGTGATAGGCGTTCGGCAGGCGTATATTCTGTGCGGGCACATAGCCACGCGTCGAGCCAGAGCCACCCGATCTGGACGCGTGGGAGGCGTTGCGCAGCAACTGCCGTGTCTCTGGACTGAGCGCATCCAGCAGGTTCGACACCGGCTGCGGCGGCGGACTCACATTGGTCACATTGCTGCCATTGTTTGTCTGCAACTGGCCCAGGTACTGGGAGAGCAGCGAGACGTCCTCCTGCCGAGCACGGTACATGGACTCCAGATATTGCAGCCGCATGTGGCACTCGGCCAGACGTTGCGTCAGCGACTGTTCGGTGGATAGTTCTGGTCCCAATACCATCAATATCACAATGCAGGGCACCAATATTAGCACCGTGGCAATCAGCATACAATTCCGTTGTCGAATCTTAAACATATTTACGTTCGCTCGATGCCCAAGTCTTCTATCATTTAGCGTCGCTTAGACTGTGCGCCGAAGAACAGAAAGAGCAGCAAGTTATAACAAATACAATCTACTGTTAGTTTGATAGATAACTTGTCTCACATACCAAAATTCAGCTGCCTTCTGGTCCAATATTGTGACTTTACACTACATTCTCTGCAAGCAGAAACAGAATTTCATTGAGGAGTGGCACTGAGATACGATAGATATCAGAAAGTAGCATGGACTAATGGAACTCTAGTGTTATGGCATACGTGGAAAAAGGCCTATTTCTCATAACAGTTGTAATTTCTAATCATTTTAGTTTACCAATTCCCATATAGCTGCTCGAGTTTCGCTGTTTGTTGTGCAACCCGTAGCCACATCGTAGCCCCAATTGAACTGTTCGCTGTCGGCGCACTAGTCCGCATTTTCGTTTCACGTTTCCTATGACTAATGCAGGCGGCAGCAGCAGTGGGCCGTGCGCCCCATCTGAGCTGGGCGGGGGCCTGGGGCGAAGGCTGAAACGTTTAACAAGTCTCCCAGGTCTCGGCTGCTATTGTTGCTGGCTTAGCCTTAGCCGTGAACGTCGCTGTTAACGTCTTTTATGGGGCAGCTGTCGTTATTCTCGCCGCACGACCTGCAAAAGCAACAAATTATATAATATACTGCTGCATCAAATACTGTACATTGTGTGTGCAAAAAAATAAACACAAAAACAAAATTCTATTTACATGGCCAAGCGCCAAGTGCTTTATATCTGTTCCTATTGTTGTTTCGCCCGTTCGATCGTCGGTGGGTTTTTCACCAGCGCTAACAAACCCAAAGAGCGAGAAAGAGAGAGAGAGAGAGAGAGAGAGGGAGAGAGAGAGAAACAAAATACAATGTGTTAGTAAATAGGCTAATACTTGTTAATGAGCTGCAAGCAAAGCTTTTGAGCACAGATACAAAGATATTCTACATATGTATACATATACTATATATATTATTGCTGATAATATGCCGAACACGGAAATCGAGAAATTGCTGTTACATTCCCTATGCAGAGTCAAACACCTTTCCAAATTTTGGCTCTATTAATCTTAATTGGTGATTCCATCCGAAATTCACAAATGTTTCCATACAGAAAAATTAATTCAGAACGCAATAATAGTAGTTAATAAGAAATCTAAATAAACATGGAACAAGTTTTAAGTCCAATACTAATAAGTGGACTAAAAGAAAGTTTCTAAAAATTTATAAATTAATAATGTAAACAAAATAATCAATAAGTAAATAGTAAAATGGTTTTATATCCGTCTTAATTTTCATATTTTTCTAATATGGGATTTATAGGAATGTTCTCAACTATATTTCTGTTTCTATAGAGGGAATGGAATCTTCAGTAGTAAATAACGTTTTTATCTAAACAGAGTATAAAATAAGTTACATTTCGCTAATAATCCATCAAAACTGTTTTCACTTTTCTCAAAAGATTTCTTAATTTGTGAATAATTTCTCATTATTTTAATAATATAATATTCCCATTGAAAATGGGAAATCAGGGTATAATGGTTTTGTGGAAAAGTATGTTTTATTTTGTTTCTAAAGAGACTATCAAATAAATTCACCGTCAATCCATTTTATCAAGTCAAAGTTAACTATTATTGACATTAGTTGTTGTTTTATTTATTTTTTCATTTACATATACATATGCATATTTTTATTTTTCAAGAGAACTGTTAAATTTCTCTACGATTTCTCGGAATGTTCTTTTATATACAAACATTCTTCTTTAATTCCGGGAAAGATATCTAGCTTTGTAATAGAATAGAGCCAGAACCGCCTAAATTATGTTGATGAGTTCTTATGATGTTCCAATGCATATCGAATAATTAAACGGAAAAAATAAAACAAGAACGGGTCAATCTATCTGCTATTAGGTTTATTACAAATTATTTGAAGCAACGACGTGTGAGGGGGAACGTGTAAGCATTAACAGTTATGACATTGCTGATAAGTAAACAATAGCCACAAGTAAACATTAATAAATAAACATTAGTAAAGGTACTCCCACAGGGTGCTAATCCCACACCCAACACGCACGCACGCACACACACACATACACACACACACAAACGAATTTCGAGGCATGTCCCGCGCGGCCCTTTGCACTCTGCTCCCTGCCCCCTAATACTTACGGCACGAAATGTTTTGTTAATTGTGGCCCCACGAATAACGCACAATCAGTGCGCAATTTACGCAATTTGTGTTTAACGACTCGCCAACTGTGGTGTGCTAATAGGAACTGATTGAGTGAAGAAACAAAACGCAAATGTTCAATTTGTCAGTTTTGTGGGTGGTGTCTTCGTCTTCGTATTGCTAAATTGATGGCATACGGTTTGCAAATTCGCACACACTCGCTTAACATATGGCTACATTTTTGTTGCAGTTGCTCAGTTGATTATGTACATGTGGTTTGGTAATAATTGCGACACTCGCGGTATTATAATGCATTAGTTGACGAAATTAACAAAACGCTTCTGAGATAATAACAACAATAAAACTGGCATTCAATTTCTCAGTGCTGGCAAATGCGACAAAACAGAGCGGCCAGTGTTGCTTAGATGAACTGGTTCCGCTGAAGCTGTCGATAGATGTTATCGCTGTCTGCAGAAATTGTTCTTTGAAACCAATAATCAGCTGTTAAGTTCAAATTTAGATCCCAAAAATGTATTTATTTATTAAAAATACTTTTGAAAACAAGAATTTTATTTACATTTTTAATAAAATATGTTTGACAAATTTACAATAAAATGCATATATTTATTTATCGCTGAGCTGACATCGTGTATAGTTCCAGAGCGTAAACTCATGCTGTTAATAACATTTCTGTAATATGTTAAGTTTGGCATTTTTGTTCTTTAAAAAAACGGGAAAATAAAACAAAATGTATTTAACTTTGTTAAATGGCACCGGTTACGTTTTCGATGTAGATGGTAAGTTAAGTGACCGGTAATCGAATCAGTAATAATCTTTATTGTATTAGATTACATGGAGCTACGCATCAAACACCGCATTGTGGGCGCTCTTGTGGGCACGGCCAACAGCAAAGGTTGGAGCTCCAGTGAAGCAGGTAGCTGAGAAAGAACATGGTTAATTGGAATCAATTGCTATAACTCTATTCATAAACTTTCAGCTCTTCCCGTAGAGCTAACCAAATGCGAGACGCAGCTGCTCATAGATGAAGGCTTGGCCATTCTGGTCAGCAAAGCCGCAAGCTTAATGAAATCTCCAACTCCAGAAATATTGCAGGAATATCAAGAAGATTTCGCGGCCCGCTTAAAAGCGCAAGCTGATTCCTTGAAGGCGGAAAAGCTGCGGGAAACCGAACGCCATGTGGAGAAAATCCTCAGCGGCAAGCGCAACAAGTTGTTAAAGCAGGGAAAATCGGATGAGGGTAAGCATCAGGATAAATGTTAATATCTCTATACAAAGGAATGTCTTCTCTAACAGCTGCTGCACTAACTTCCCAGAGCGTGATCCAAGAAGTTGCAAATAATTTCGAATTCGATCATCAAAATGCGCTCGTAGAGCTGCCTTGTCCGCATCTGGCTAAGCACAGTGGGTGAAATCGAAAAACTATTATCTTCATTATAACTAAATATTAATTTCTCTTTAAAGCTGCCCAACTATGGACTGAGCCGATTTGCGACCGCGACTCGCTCAAATACCGGGTTTTTCGTGATCTTTGGGGCCGTGGCAAGTTCGTCACTTGTGGCGATGCCTTTGGCGCCGACTTCTTAATATATCCCGGGGATCCCATGCTCTACCACGCCTCCCACATTGTCATCATTCAGTCAACACCTGCAATACGTCCCCTGGAGCTGATTTCCAAGGTCCGCTTGTCAGTCATTGTCAATAAGAGCTGTGTGTTTGCCTATGAGGCAGCTGATGGAAAGACCATCGTCTACCAAACAGTCGCCTGGTGCAATCCTAGCAAATAGGTAATCAATCTACAGGTGAGTCAGAAATACCCAAGAAATTGTGCACTATATAACACTTTTTGCTATCTGTAAATTTTGCAATGATTCATAGATATTCAAGTTAAATTGATTAGAAATTAACTAAAGACTAATAGTAATAGAGCACTACTAATAGGGTACTATGAATCCTAAAATTAATACTTTGTACTGTGGTACATAGAGGTACATAAAATTAATGAGGAATTTACTTCAAAATTTTTACAATTTTAGGAGTTTATGTTATTAATAAAAGTACAAACATTTAAACAGTACTTTTTATTACATGATATAAGTAATAAACAAATGATTTATTTTTATCAAATTTTGTATTTAAAACGAAAGATCAAAATTAAAAGAAGCATTACAATAAAATAGTTCACATTAAGCTGACACCACTTAGAGTTTGTAAAAAGAATTATTTGATGTTTCTTATATAGGTTTATAATTATTAGTTAAGATTACTTTGCAAGCCCGTTATTTTTTACCAATTGAGCCTACGGTTGTTGTAATGTTACAAGACTTTCGTATTGTGGAATGAAATACAATAACAGAGAGTTGCGTGGATTTTGACTCTTCCGTCTCTCCAAATGCCTCAGTGAGCGCCCTGTCTGTCGGTACGTGTGTGTGTGTGTTTGTCGCTGAGTGCGCACTCAAACTCACACATACATATGCAGGCAGAATAGTATTGTGGGAAAGCAAAATAATGAAGCAAAAAAAAAAAAGTCTTGGATAGTGTTTGGTCTGCTTTTGAAAATTTCTTGGAGTACGCGCGGCCGACGCGACGCTAGCCTCTCCTCTCAACTGTGTCAAACCTCTCAGCATTGTATCTCGGCAGTTGCAGCCGCAGAAAAGAACAAAGCAGAGCGGGAGAGGGAATCTGCTGCCGCTGCCGCTGACGCCGCCGTCACTCTGCAGCAGTCACAGGTTAAATTTGTATGGCAAAATGAGTTTATTATTGCGGCGACATTCACAACGTGGAGATGCTTTGTTCCGTTGCGGAAAACTAATTTTGTATTACTAAATAGGAATAGAAATAATTATGTGAATATTGGTACTAAAATGAAATTTTTGCTAATGCCGAAATCAATGCATTCGAAATTCAAAAGTGTGAAAAAGCAAAGTATTTAGCACATATGTACTCATACATGCATATGTGTGTATGTACATACATGTGCACATAATTATTTATACGCATACTAATGCATGTCGAAATTAACGTACAAATATCTATACATATGTATACATATGTATGTGTGTATGTTCATTGGTATTTCATATCTGTTTGTCTCTGCGCTTTAAACAAATTTTAGCATGTTTTCGTTTTTTAAATAGACTTCGACTACTGAAACAAGAACAAACACAATGATAACATTGCCAACGGGGTGTGCTGCGGCAGAGAGGAGGTCGCTGCGAGGCCGAGCAATGTCGCCGCGCCGTTCGAATTTCAGACAAGCAGGCAGTCAGCAGCTCGCACAGTGGGACAGAAATGATTTCATTGTAGTTCACTACACACACTAAAAGTTCGATGCAGCTTGTTAGCATTGCGGCCTACTGTCTGTTGCTGCTCGCTATGTTTCTCTCACCACCCTCACCCACCCGACTACTCTCGTTCAGCACTACCAGCTTCGATATGCGCTCACTGCTTTAATGCTGATTGGATTTTTAAAACGGCGTTAACATTTCTCGTGTCCAGCTGAAGCAGCAGCAGCGGCAGCAGCATCAGCATCAAAATCAAAACAGAGAAAATTTGTAATCTTGCGTCGTATTTTTTTTCGGCTCTACTCACATGCTGCTCACTAAATTAATACTTCTCAGAGTATTGGACGCACCATGGATAGAACTCTCCCTGGTATTTTCTCTCTCCCCGCTGGCAGCGAGTCCGCAACAACGCGTTGCTCGTTTCTGCTCTTAAGCGGGACTTGATCTGCATAAAATTAGGGTCGAGCTGTCTTTGGGAGTGTGTCACAGAAACAGGTGATTGCCTGAAACTGGCGCTCAAAGAGTATCTGAATTTCGTAAGAGCGAACCGGCATCTGTCAGGATCTTTCGATTATGGAATATTTAAAGCCATTCATCAATATTTATCTAAATAACGATCGATCACACAATTAATATTACCTCTACCTTATTAAAAAAAAAAAAAAAAATCAATAAAAATATTTAAAAATACATTATTAAAAAAAATTTTTTTGAAAACTGAATTTATCGTATCTTTTATTTTGGGTAAACTGAAATGCTCTTTCATTGGTATTTCACTTAAATTTATTTACATCTGGTAACGCTGCTCGTCAACTGTACTTTCAAGAGCGCGCACTGCCAGCCATCTCTCTCACTCTCACGCGCTCACCGCAGCAACAGTGTCACCCACACACATGCATGCGAGCACACACATAGATACATTCATTCTCATAAGCCTACACAAACACAAACATGCGAGAAACCACCACCAAAAAGCGGTTCAGCGCGCATGATCAGAAATTTTCTCCGTATAGAGACTAAAACTCGTCATACAACACGACCGCGCCGCGCTGGCAGAACGTAATTCGATCGAATACTCAGTCTCAGTTCGAGTTATTCAACGCTGGCGAGCAGCAGCAGCAAAAAAGAAAATCAAGAGCCAAAGCCACCAGCCGTGAGCGGCGGTCAAGAAGGGAAAGCAAACCGAGTATAAAATAGCAGCAAGCAGATTTTTCTTTGCGCTCCGGTGAGAAGATAATTTCAACATGCATAAAATTGCTCGCTCCGGGAGCGACGGCGTGTAAACAAACAGAATAACAACACAAAAGTGAATGAAATTGTAGTTATAAAACAAATGCTGAGGCAAAAGCAAAATGCGTGGCGTTAACTGTACAAAGACCAAAAAAAAAAAAAAAAGATAGAAAAAAGAAACTAAGAACATAAGCAAAATATGAATATGTATTTCTGGGCGTGTCTGAATAATGCTAAAGTGATAATCGCGCGCTTTTTTCCAACTTGTTTTATTCTATTAACAAATGTAAAATGTTGCCTGTTCGTGTTAGTTGTGTGTTTTTTTTCCAAGTCTAAAGTCATGCAGTTCCATACGTTCAATCGTTCGTCCGTCCGTTCATCGGTCTGTGGGGGGGCGGGCAGGCGGCCCACATTTCATATACGAGCTGTAAAACTTGCTCTCTGGTTGTCTCGCTCTCGCGTGCTCAGCAATCTTAGGAGAGGGAGCGACGGGTGCGCATGGAGCTCATGCGCCACTGAGGCCCTTCCCCCACCAAAACACACACACATACACACACGCTCTGAAACATTTGTATATAAAAAGTTTTTCTCGCGAGAGAGCGAGAGCACATGAGTTGTTTGTCTTCCATCTGCTTATGCTCTTTACTCTTTTTTTGTTTTTTGTAGGGGGCAACGATAAGAAGCAGCGCGCCATTCAGTCGTTGTGAAAGCTCGTGAACGTGGAGCAGTTGAGCAGTTGAGCAGTGGAGCAGCAGCATCAACTATTTGACGCTGCCATTTAGATGAAATTTCTTGTTAGAACGTTGCAAGAATAACAGCCTCGTCGTGTTAGCCACAAACAGCAATCAATATAACTACAACGCTGGAGAACAACTGTTGGATTTGGACACGACAGCCCTAATGTCGTTGCCAATGAATTCGCTGTACTCGCTCACCTGGGGTGATTATGGAACATCTCTGGTATCGGCCATACAATTGTTGCGCTGCCATGGCGACCTGGTCGATTGCACCCTGGCTGCCGGCGGACGCAGTTTTCCAGCCCACAAAATCGTGCTCTGTGCGGCTTCTCCATTTCTGTTGGACCTGCTAAAGGTGAGTACGCGGCGAGAGCTTTTCTAAACATAACCTCAACAGCGACGACGTTTCGTTGGCATGTGTTTTTGCGCGTACAGTTTGTAAACAGAGAAATCAAAATCGTCGTCCGACTTGCCAAATAGGTTATTATGTGTTTGTGCGTACGTGCGAGTGTGTTTGTTGTGTGTGTGTGTTTGAATTTGTGAAACGGTTTTGACTCCCCAACTCAATGTGAATGTAAGCTACATACATGCATATATTAGTATTTGAGTGCGCGTGTATGTGTGTGAGTTAAGAAATGTGCATTCGCGCTCTGCTCCTGGCTTAAACACAGTTGTCGCTCTGGGCCAATGCTCAGGAGCAGCATGAGACTGCGGTGCGTCTCCTACTTTCTCGTCATTTTAGTTCGCCAGAGATTTCCGTGTAAGTTTTCTATTGTCAATTGAGTAGAATGAGTTGCGCACTCTTTTGCGCTAACGCTGACGTTGTCATATTGTCTCCCTTGCCCCTGTGCCTCGTCTTGTTATAGAAATGTATAAGCTTTCAAGTGAGTTCCGAAGAGCGAGAGAGTGCGAGAGCAGGCGCATGTATGAGTGAAGAGGGGAGCAAAAGTTGCGCCAACTTTTAATTCAAATGTGTTAGAGCGAGCACAAACGAGAGCGCCAAATGACGGGGCAGCCTGACTGGCTCTTGCTCTTGCTGGCAATGTTTGCTGTTGCTGTTGCCGTTGCCGTTGCTGCTGTTGTTGGGTGCACACGAGCGCGACCTCTTTTTGCTTATGCCAGCAAGAGTGTGTGTGTGTGTGTGTGTGTGTGTAAATGTACAGTTGATATTGACTATGAGAATACAGTATAAAAGAAATAGTTAATAAATAAAATGAAAATGATTAATATAGTATATTGGCAAGCAGAATTTATATACATACATATATTGTATTTCAGTTGAAGCCTATATTGATTACGTATTTACGTATCGCCTGGCGTTTGTCTTATATATACAAGCTTCACTGTACACTGTATACAGCTCATATCAGAATTATACATACATATGCATATCATCACATGTACATATAATTTTTGAATACATACGTACATGTGGTTATGTACTCATGTGGCTTTTGATTTGGTTTTATTTCTGTTGTTACACTTTAACATTTTTCATTCTGGGTGCTGTACTGTACTTATTTGATTGCTGTATTTCACATTGCTCGAATTAATAAATATTTATTTTTGTAAATTTGTATCATCTTATTTGATTTCTCCTGTATTATTTGTTAATTTACTTTTGAGAAATTGCACTGGAGATCAGCACCAATCAGATATTCATGCATTGTTATTGTTTCTGCGTCCACATGTCAAATGACCAAAACAGAGAGGAGAGTGTAGAACACCTGACGCCTAGCATCGGCTTTATGCTCGCTCCCCCGTTCAAAAAGTAAACAGAGCGTAATTTCGAAAAACGTCGCTCAGAGTCGGTCGCGGGAAATGTCAAAAATTGGCTTTATATGTGAACTCTGCAAGAGTCGCTGCTGCCCATAAGATGTACTCGTACGCTTAGTGATCTCGTTACACTCACACACACACGCAAAATACGTAGACAATGCTCTTTGTCGCTCCCGCTCCCTCACAAAGTGCAACCAGTGAAAAGCAACCACTCTGAAAAAATCGATGAGCGTCAGAGCAATGGCGAGTGCGACGTCAGCAACAGCAGTGGCTGTAGCAGAGGCAGAGGCAGAAGCAGAGGAAGAGGCAGAGAAAAGAAGTAGGTAGGCAGGCTGGCTGAAGGGAGTGTAGAGTTCAAAGAGCGTGTGGTACGCGGCCTTTCTACGGGTTTGAGTGCGACGGAGCGCGGCAACTGCTGGATGGCATTTAAAGAGATTGGGTGAGAGGCAGCGCTGCTAGCGTCACGGTGGTAAGCTGTCGCTCACCGTTTAAAGCGGGCCTCTGAACGACGCAGACTTTTTGCTGCTGCTTGCCTGCCTGCTTGTCTGCCTGCCTGCCTGCTAATTAAATCCGCGCCATGTGAGTGTGTGAGCGAACGAAAGAACGAGCTGGTGAGTGAGTGAGTGAGCGAGCGAGCGGGCTGCTCTTACTTGGTGTAGAGTGTATGGGCTCTGGCAGCATCTCCAATCCTGCTGCAGAAATGCAGAGCGCGCATAGCGAAAAGCCGGTTTATTGTGATGAGAGTGTGCCTCTGACTCTGAATGACTGTGTGTGCGTGTGTACATGTTTTTGTTGAGTTTCGTTTGAGTGCACGCGTGTGTGTGAGTTGGTCGACAATTTATCCGTTTGTTTTGATGGTCTCAGTTGACGGCCAATTCTTTTGTCTCTGTTTTGAACTAAGCAGCAGCAGCATTTATGAGCGAGCACGCGTGTTGCTCAGCCGGCAAATAAATTTGGAGCGCCAAAAGCAAAGATGTTTGGCTAGAGCAAAAGAGTCGAGCACCATTGAATTACTAAAATATTAAAAAGTATTTTTTTTTAAATTATATTT